TATAGAGTGAATTGCAAGTCTGGATGTATATTAGAGACTGTATATATATTTAGAGTACTTGTGGCTAGAGAAAAATATTGATGAATATTTGTATGTATTGAGAGTTATATACAAGACTGTTTCTATTTTTGAATGCTATCCTCAACTCTCAAATAAGCAAAACATAACAAGATACTTTGAAACAGGAATAAATACCTTACCAAATTGAAAAACAGCACTCCAAAAGTAGCGTCGAGCACAACAATTCGTTTCTGAAGCTGTGTTGATTGTGTTCCGACAACTGAATCACTGTGTTGTGGCATTGTTGTGGTCATATCCGAGCTTCCGAAGAAGACTGCTGTACACTGCAACAGGGCAACGCTGTACTTTGTAAACAAATGACATTCTGTTGATTTTGTTGAAACAAAAGCGGAAGATGAAGAATTTGCTTTCAGTGCTTTATTTTGCTCTGTCTATTTTTATAAAATATTATGTAAATAAAAGAGTTTGTTTGTCGTTAAAAACGGCTCAGATCAAATTTGTTTTTGTTACATTTATGCGTTTACGCCATTATTGGTAACATCGGGATTTCATCTGGCTGTAGTTTTAGAGTGAGCAGTCTATCTATTTTACGTTAAAACGTATAAAATTCAATTCTGTCTGCGTTAAAATTAAACGTTTATTGCACTGGTAGATTTTTGGTCTTTTTCTATAAAAAACAAACCAAACAAAAAATAGCTAAATAGTTCGCTACAAAAGTGGCGATATAAAATACTTTTACACAGGCTCCGCAGTCCACAGGCTTCGTATTTTGTAAAAGATACTGTAGTCGTCGTAGCTGAGCAAAGCTCACATATACCACGCACACACCCGTTGTTAGTGTTCCATCGGGTTCTCAGTGTAGACCATTAGTCACTATGAACGTATCCCTGGAGTCGAAAAAGAATCCCTATGGCAATGGTTTGCTGTACATCGGATTCAACCAAGATCAAGGTAAATACATCGAGAACCTTGCACGTACTGTTGGCGCGTGCATACCTCACAGAGTTCGAGGATAGTGTATAACGTTGATTGAAGAATCGTGTGGATTAAATATTCTGAATTTGGTGTATGTCATATTCTATTAATAGGAAGATACATTT